ATATCTAGCTTGTGCTGTGTTGTATTTATTTTTATGTATTTGTCCTGGGTTCTCAAATATTAAGGACCCAAAAGAGGTGAGAGGACTTTTTTATGCCTCTACAAAGCCCACGCAACAGTGGATGATGCTAGTGAAATGAAGATCTCTCTGGAGTAATAAGAAGAAACCATGTAATACCAAACTTTAAACCAGCAATTTGTTATTAAAAACAATGTTTTCCAACCTAACTATCCAAAAGGGGATTGGTTCAATAATGGTGTATAGCAAATGAATATGTGCTAGTATAATAACATGTGCTAATGTGGAACAATCTCCAAAGTGTCTCAAGTGAAAAGAGCAGAATGCAGAAGAGAATGTATAGCATATGCCCATGTATGTTTTTTTAAAAAGAGGGTAATAGAAAATATGTGTATATACTTATGTGTTTTATATGCATGGACCATTTCTGAAAGGACATATGGGAAAATGTTAATGACAGTTGCCTTTAGGAAAGGGCACTGGAGTATGTGAGTCTAGGTTGATGAAAAGTCTTGCTTCTCATTGTATTTGAATTTTTACCATATAACTTTATGTATAATAAGTTTGGTTAATTAAAACTTGAAAATTGAGAATAATTTTATTTCTAAAATTTATTTTGGGGAAATGTAACATTTTCCACAAATGCCCAATAGGAACTGACAATACGTTTTTTTATACCTTTCTTGAAAAGTGGCATGGATGCACTTTGAGAAGTGGCAGTAATGCAAAGATGGCATATATGTGATGGGTGTGCCACCAGTACCTCTTTGCCCACAGCAGAAATCAATAATTAATCATGGCAAGCTTTCCTAATGAGAGAGACTTGACCACAGTGCTCAAGGCAGTCATTACCACTTACCAAAGTTGTTGTATTAATAACATACATCTTACTGTAGAAAAAAAGAGCCTCCCCCTTGGAATAAGGAAATCAAAATTTAAGTCCTAGCCCCTGTGTTATCTAGCTTTGTAAACTTGAATGAATTGCTTTTTGTTTATTCATTAGATGTTAGTCCCTGCTGTGTACCAGCAGAACGCTCTGCTAGCTGCCAGGAATATAGTTTGAATAAGTCAGCCATGGCTCTTCCTCTTATGGAACTTTTAGTTTTAACTTCTCAGAGCTTTAGCTTCTCTATCTGTAAAACAAGAGAATTGTACCTTACATGTTGATGATTATGATGGGTGGTCTGTCTTACCTCATAATATAGTCCTTTATCTGTTTTAAAATGATTAAGGGGTAGAAAACTTCAAGTTTCTACCCTTTATCTGTTTTCAAATGGTTAAGGGGTAGAAAACTTCAAGTGGCAAAGAGTCCTTTTGAAATTCCCAGTTCCCAGAGTTAAATCCCCACATTTTTAGTACATGGAAAAGCTTTATGTTACCACAAAATTTAGGCAACTGAGGGTAACCCATAGGAAGCTCTTTCATGGCAGGACAAGTGGCAGATGAAGTTTAACCTGATGCAAGTGTAAAGGCAAATTTGGTCGAGCTGGTGGTGATCCTGTGTGGTTGCAGGAGCAAAAAAAACTGAGGTAGTTTCAGCCTGCAGACTGTAATTTTTCAACCATTGCAATATGAAATTAAATTCCCCTCTCCCCCAAATTGGGTATGATGCTGTGTGATCTTAAGATAGTCTCATATTTCTCCTTTTAATTCTTCATTTCTGATGTGTAAAGTAGAAGATTGTGAAAAGAAAGAGCCTCAGACAGGCAGTATAATGTGTATAGAAAGAACACAGGTTTTGAAGAGTCTAACTCAAGGTACGTAACCCTTGGGATGTAGCTTAATTTCTCTGATCATCAGTTTCCATATTTCTAAATTGGGGATTATAATAGCAATTCACAGGATTGTTGTCAGTCAGCATAATGGTAATCCTAACATGTCTACACTATTTCAACATGTGAATATTGACATAATGCAGGGTCGTTCAAAAATAAAGGTTTAAGTAGTCCATGGTGCTGTAATATGTACAGCGTCTGCCTAGTAAACAAAATGGACTCTCATGAGGTAAGTGTGATATGGCAAAATCTAATGCAGTCTTAAACTCAGTGGTGTTTAGTGAACCAGGGAGGTGATATCCCACTCTACGCTGTGTTAATCCAACTAGAATATTATGTTCAGCTCTGGGTTACTACCTTTTAAAAGAGATGTTGGTAAACAGATATAACCAGAATAGTAAATGGTTGGAAAACTATGTCATGTGTGGTAGAAGAAGAAACAAAAGTATTAAATCTGAAAAAGACAAAATAGTCATAAGCCCCTCAAGTCAATTTCAAATCTTTGGAGGCTTATCACATTAAAGAAAGATTAGATCTAATTCATAAGAGTGCCAAAAGGCAAAACTAGGACCAATGGGTATAAATTACAGGGAGAAACATAATCAGTGCAATTAAGCAATTTCTAACAAAATTGCTCACAAGTAAAATGAACTGACTTGTTAGTTAAGAAGCTTTATCTCTTTAGGTATTGAGGCAGATGCCAAATGCCCCATACATCATGGATTCATTAATGATAATTCTTGTAATGAATAGGATATTTTATAACTCTAAGATTATGTTATATTTATATATAATATGTATATATAAATTTATATTTTATATTTGTTAATTACTAAATTGTATAAAACATTCATAACATGTTATATCTTAATGTATTTTACTATTACATTTATATTATAAGAACACTTGTAGGTGATACAATTGTGATCTTGCCTGTTCACAGTGTGATAGGGAAGAAAGAACATGGGCCTTTGATGCTGAGTACACCTAAGTTTGAATCCCAGCTTTATCCCTTATTGGCTCTGTGCCCTTAAGCAAGTTATTAAACTCTGAGCTTAATTTTGCTCATTTGTAGAATGGGAATACTAATACCTGATTTGCAGGGCTTTTGTGAGAACTAAATGAAAAACCCATAATATATGAAGACCTAATATAATACCTGGTACATAGTAGATGCTCAGCAAAAGTTAGTGCCCCGTGTCACCTCATGATATAAAATTGATTTAATCAAGAAATATCCCTGCACTTCTAGACAAAAAGCAAACTGAGTAAATTATGCTCAGGTGATTGTTACAAATGAAACAACAGGAACTATAGTAGACTTCTTGTAAGAAATCTGTCTTATAAAGGTTACTATAGAGAAAAAATTACATTAAGTATGATATAAAAATAAAAAAGTTTTACTTTAAGCTGGAAATGTTAGAATCCTACATGGGGGGAAATCTAAATTCTAAGAATACACTTTTAACTCCTGAAAGTAAGTATACTAAGTAGTATAAAATACTGGGTAAAACTGCCTTTGCCTTACCACTAGGTGGCAGAAATGATAATTAACTACATTTGGTTATTTCATTAAGGATAAGTGGCCTTGTTTTAAAATTACATTAATTTTCCTCAAATATTTATATTTGTGTTATTTTTCTATTATATGACTAACATACAGTTTAAAACATTTTATTGATTAATTTTCTTTATTTTTTCAGTGCTAATGAAGGTACAGGACATTTTAAGGTATTTTATTTTTCATTTACTTCACAAGAGGATCTTATAGCACACAAGTAAGAGTCAGATTAAAGTTGTTGAAATATGAAGTACATTAATAATATTCTCATAATAGGCTTATGAGAAAAGAGTTATTAAGTAAGAATTTGCTATTAATTCAGAACAGTGCTCTAAAGAAAAATGGGTGAGTAGTTTTTAAAACTCTAAAACCAAATGCTATGTTAATTTGGTGATAAAATATTTCAAAGCATTTTTTGCATAGTTGGTATTTATAATTAAATATGAGCTTAAAATTTTATTTGCATGTAACATTTCTGGCTCACAAATGTTACTTAAATTGTTTACTGAACTTGAGAGGTAAGAATGAACTTCGTAACATACTTAAGTTCAAAGTTCTCTCAGGTTTGAGACATTAAATTTTCAGTTGTAACTGATGATACAGATGTTAATTTGCAGGCTTTATGTCTGTGAGAGGTGATGAATGTATTGTTTCAGAAACAAATGATCCTATTTTGTATTTTGTGACTACTTTTACTTTGCTAAAACAGTCTTTTATACTTTCTTAATTAACAAATCAGCAATCTTATTTTTCTTTTAATTCTGTATAATGGAGTTCAAGTTACATCTTTTGATATTATAGCTTAGTATTCTCTACTAAAAAAACTGTATTTAAATCTTATATTTGAGTTCAAATAAATGTGTCTGACTAGGATGATGCCTGGTTGTTAAAGTATGTAGGCCTGTGGCATGAAAATCATAAACCCTATTTCGTATATTCAATTTAAAAGTTAGTAATATAGTCCCGAAAATTTTTCCCAGGAGTCATTTTTTTAACTTTTAGTTATGAAAAATTTTAAACATACTGAGAAGTAGGCAGAATAAAACCTCCAGGTATCTGTCACCCAGTTTTACCAATTAACTAATGGCTAGTGAAGTAGACAGAATAAAACCTTCAGGTATTTGTCACCCAGTTTTACCAATTAACTAATGGCCAGTTTAATTTCTTCTATACCTCCATCCACTTACCTTCTAATATTATTCTGAAACAAATCCCCAGCATTTTGCCACTTCATCTGTAAATATTTTGGTATTCTTAAAAGATAAGTTTCTATTAATGACCGTGTATCATACCAAAAAAAAGAAAAATGTCAATGTCATAAGAGATAAAAATAAAGTGGCAGAACTATTACAGATTAAAGGAGACTACAGAAACATGATAACAAAATGCGATGTGTAATCCATTAGATCCTGAATTGAGATAAGAATAACTTGTAAAATACATTATTAGAACAACTGTAGAAGTTTGAATTTGGACCTATTTAGATAGTTGCATTGTGGTAATGTTAAATTTCCTGATAATTATATTGTAGTTACATAGGAGAATCCTTTATTCTGAGAAGTTAACTGCTGATACGTTTAGGTAAAATATCTCAATGTCTGCAAATAAATCTCAAATGATGCAAGAGAAAATATATATACACATATATACACACACATATATATTGGAAGAGAAGACAAATGTAGCAATATATTAACAGTTGATATAACAATTTATGAAAGGCTGTGGGTCTTTATTGTACTGTTCTTAGAATCTCATTGTAAATTTGTCTTTTTTTTCAAGAGGTTGAGGGTGGTAAATTAAAAAAATTAAAAGTTTCTTACTATCAGGTACATAGTTGGTGTTTGGACCTTTAATTGTCTTAATCGTAGTGGTTTTTTTTTTTAACACTTTTAAGTCAGAATCCAAATAAAGTTCACATATTGTGATTGGTTGACAGGTCTTTAAATCTGTAAGTTTTCCATTTCTTTTTTCTAGCAATTGATTGTTGATGGTACTGAGTCATTTTTCCTGTTTCCTACGGATTGGGTTTTGATGCATCTCTGTGGAAAATTTAACATGTTTTTCTCTGTCTTATCCGTAAACTGGTAGTTAAGTCTGAGTGTTGATCAGGCATGCTTGATTTGGGGATAGTGAGAATACTTCATAGGTGGTGGTGTTTTTGTCCTTCTGGAGGCACGTGATGTCTGATTGTCTCTTTATAATGTTAGCAGCCATTGGTGCTAAGGCTGTTAATAGGGTTTGGAAAATGATTCTGTCATTCCTTCTTTTATTAGTTGAAATCATTCTGTAAAGAGTAATTTACCTTTGTCTATTTGGTTGGCCAGAGGTATAGTTCATATAGAAAAGACAGGTTAAGTGCCTGGTTCTTTCCCTTTACTTACCATGTTCAAAATAATGAGTTGGTTCATGAGTATTCTCCAGTCATGGCTGATTAGGTATTGCTTTTTTTTGTTTTTACTTTAAATATATTTGTGCTTTAAACCCATTTCAGTTATTATCCTTATTGATGTTCATATTGTCCTGTCATAGATACTATAGTCTGTGATAGCTCCCTTGCTGTCTGATATGATAAGATGTTCCGTATTCAACTTGTACATCTTTTGTTGTAGACATGGAATCATTCATTTCTATAAGGCATCCTAGTTCCTTTGGTATTTCAAAGTCATTGTCTGATTGCTAGAGATTCACCTTGCTACTGGGTTGGTAACTGTTTCTAGGCCTTTTTAGTTGACAGAGGTAGGAATTTTTCAAGGTAAAATATAATTATGAGTTGATACCTTTTTTTTGGTATCATGAATCTACAACTACATGAGTTGATATCTTTTTAAAAGACATTTTTAGTGGTATATATTATTTAAAGACAGTAAATAACCCAGTGTCTTTTAAATCTCCCTACAGATCTTAAATTAGCTTATTATTTCAACTTATCAAATTGTCCTTTTGTGTTACAGTTAGCAGGGAAGATTGCCATGGTTAATTTCAAATAAGTATAATTCAGTGGAATTTTTTTCCACTTATTTGTGGGTGGTAGGAGGCTATTAGGTGTAGAGGAAAAATAAGGAGTTGACCCTTTACATGGGAACTGGTTTTTTAGCATTAAGCAAAAAAAACCCCAAAAAACAGATTGCCTTCTAAAAGGGCTAGGTCTGAATTATATGGGGGAAAATCCTGTTAACTTGTGATCCTGAGATATGAAAACTAAGGTTAACCACATGAGAACCCTAACTTTTAAAGCCAATTTTCTTCTTTCAAATATGAGCAGATCTCATAGTTCTGTTCTGGGTCATTGTATTAAAAAGTACAGCAGTATTGATAACTTTAGCTAAATTGGACTAATTTTAACAAACACATGTGGTGAGATGCTCACCAGGAATTTGGAAATGAGGGAGATTGGACTGTCCTCTTCTGGTATACTTGGAGCCTACTATTAAAGTGGTAAGACCAGGAAATTGACCTTCAGTAATGCACTGATTGCCAGGCAGGCAGCTAGATAGACAGTCCAGAAGAGCAGATCCAGAATAGCAGTTTCTCAAGGCACTTGATGGGATTTCTCTTGTTAATAGGTACTGCTGCTTACAAAGAGTTCCCTTCATGGGACTCAACTGGGGCACTGCTATAGCCCCTTAGAGAGACTGGTTTAGGTTAATGAGATTATTCCTATACCTGCCTTAAAGGATGGTGGAACTGCCGTTTTTGTCTAGATTATTTATGTCCATGATGATAATTAGGCCCTCTGTAAGAGTTAAATTCCTTCACAGAAATAGCCAAATGGTCACAATACACCAGTAATAACTTTAAGTGCTTACTGTGTGCCAGGAATTGTTAATAGTTACATATATTAACCCACTTTCCTCATGATAATTCTATGAGGTAAATGCTATTATTATCTCCGTCTTACAAATGGAGACATTTGTAATGTCCGATACAGAAAGGTTCAAGGATTTGCCCAAAGACTTGCGGCTGGAAAATGACAGAACAAAGGTTTAAACTCGGGCAGTCTGTCTATGGAATACCTGCATGTAACACCTATGCCATCTGCTACACTATAGTAATAAAGGATAGATCTTTTGTCAGGAAAGGTCTTGAGAAACCAAACTACAGATAAGAAAGCTGAGCTCTGTTATATGAGAAAAATCTGTGCCTAACCTGCCCGGGTCTTCTTGGTAGCCATTCTCGGTGCCCTCTCTGTAACACTAGAAATATACCATGCAAGTTTTCCTAGAAAGTACTCTCTTTGTTTTGATTATCTCAGCTTTTCATTTGGATCAGATAGCAGTATCCTTAAAATTGCCTCAGAGAGGAAAGTGGTTGGGTGGTAAGCATTAGTTTCTACTTTAAAACTCTGTGGTCTCTGCACCTATTACCTCAGACCATTGGATCAGAGGCTAGCCACATATGGCTAAATGTTAATCTTTTTATTTTCCACTTAAGAAAGAAAACTGTTTATTATGGGAAATTTCAAACTCATACAAAAGTAGAAAGAACAGTGAAATGAACAGCCATGTACACATCACTCAACTTCAATAATTGTAAACTTAAGGCAAATCTCATTTCTTCTATACCTTTACCACTTCTCTTCTGATACAATTTTGAAGCAAATCCCAGAGTATTTATTATTCAATCTATAAATAATTCAGTTTGTTTCTAAAAGGACTTCTTATAAACATAATACTATAATTTAAAAAACAAGAATTCTTTAATCAAATATCCATATACTATTTAAGTTTCCAAGATTGTCTTAATGACAATTGTTTTATAATTTGTTTAAATCAGGACCCAAATAAGATCTATACATTGTAATTGATTGAGATGTATCTAATTTGTTTATAGGCCTTAAATCTTTTTCAAGTCTAGGAGTTCCTCCTTCTTGTTCTTTTTTCTTGCAGTTTGTTTGAAGAAACCAGTTGTGTTAGACATTTAATCTTGGATAGTCTTTATCTGTCAATAAATTTTACTCTTACATTTTATTTTTGATGAGGTATTAAACTAGTAAACCTTTCCATTAAAAAAAGTTGTTGACATACTTTTCAGAGAGGGGACGCTAAGAAATTCTTTTATTAACTCAAATTTTACAGTTATTTTTCTTTCATAAATCTGTTGAATCATCTGCTATAAAATTTGTTTTTAAGGTTCATACATTTTATATATATATTTAATATGAAAATGTTTATTTATCTGTTTATTTATTTTTGTAGCCATTGGAAAAGAAATTTGTCCGAGTTTCAGGAGAAGCAACTATTGGACATGTAGAAAAATTCCTCAGAAGAAAAATGGGTCTTGATCCTGCTTGCCAGGTAGAGTACATGTATATAAAAAGACAGGTGAAGTTGTGAAATTACCTTTAGCCTATTGAAGAATGAACCATCTCTAGGATTTCAAGCTGTGGCTTTTGTTTTATGATAGTAGGTGTTGTAATTGTTAATTGAATATTGATACACTGATTCTCATCCTCAGCTTTAATCACATTTGACTTACTGTCTGCTCTTTGCTGCCATTGATGATTATCTGTAGATGTAAGAGAAAAGCTGATATAAGAACTATAGAAGAGCTGCTGGGGTCTCAGTTCCAGCTCTTTCCTTTCTGCTAGTAGAGCAAAAGATTACTTGTAATCCATCCAGTCCTCTTCAGAGGACATCCTTGCATTTATCAGTTCCTCAAGTATAACAAGCTAGCTCCAGACATCTAGAAGGGTGAACTTTCTATCTAATATAGACCCTATTAGTTTTTTAAGGATTGAAAAAGATCTCCCATTGTAGCTCTTCAATATTTTCCTGTTATAAGATAGAAACCTCAAACCTCATCTATTGTTGAATATAAAGTGTAAATATACTCCTGGTTCTAGTAATGTGAACTACTGAAAATGTACATTTATATAGTCTTGTTGCTTTTTTATTAGTCAAATTTAAGAGATTTTTCTTATTCTCCATTTATAAAATTTCAGAATAATTTTTATCTAAAATACCTATTTGCTGTTGATTGTTGACAAATACTTAAAGTCAGCTGAAATTTTGCTAATGTTTTTAGTACCATTGTTAAATATACAGTTGACCCTTGAACAAAGTGGGGGGTTAGTAATACTGACTCCCTAGCAGTCAAAAATTCACATATAACTTTCAACTACCCAAAAAAGTTAAGTACTAATAGCTTACTGTTGACCAAAAGCCTTACTGATAAAATAAATAGTTGATTAACACATATTTTGTATGTATATGTATTATATACTGTATATTATACTCTGAATAAAATAAGCTATAGAAAAAAATGTTTTTTCAAATTGTCACAAATCTCAAAAAAATTTTCCAGTATATTTATTGAAAATGTTCTCATGTAAGTGGACCTACATAGTTCAAACCTGTGTTCAAGGGTCAACTGTATATTAAATCTAATGAAATGTGACTTCTCTTACTGAGCTTGACATATGCTGGCTATATCTTAATGGCAACTGAAAACTGGAAGTGACTAATTTATCATCTTGTAGCCATAGCATACCTGACTGTATTCTTAGTCTTTGTTAAAAATTAGGTAGGTGCTTAGAGACTTTTGTACAAAGATTATGAGTGATCCCATAACAGTTTATTATTTCTGAAACCAGAAGTCAGAAAATTGGGTATCACTAAGTGGCACCCAGGAGAGCCTGCTTTCTCTAGGATATAGATTTCTTCTTCTGTGACCAGATATTGATCAGAGCACAATTCGCATTTGTAAGTTTCACATCTGGTGTTCTAAGAATTTGGTTGCCAAAGCTCTGAATTCGTTTTAGTGTGTAAAAATGTGAGTTTATTTTTTCTCATATCATAGAATTTCAGGCTTTTAGAATTTTGAAATCAAAATGATATAAAATTTGGTTCAGCCTTTAATTTTCTGTCAACTGTTGTCTCTCTAGGTAAATATTCCTTTCCTGTTCAGGTTCTGTATAGCTGATAACATTTGTAAGTTACTATTTCACCAAAATGTTAAGTAATTGAACAGAGAATTATCAAATATGCAGATCCATTAATTTGTGACTAAAATTGTTTAAGCTTTCTAAATCCAAGAGCAAAAACAAAAATACAAACAAAACATTGAGCTAGTTAACCATTGTCCAAATAAAATCCTTGGTGTAGCCAGTTACTTGAGCCTGCTATGCTGACTTTTAAACCAGTTAGTCCCAGGTAGGAAATGTGTGTTTTGTTTACAGATATTTGACCTTCATATATGGTTATTTACTAGCAGGAATGAATGATTACTAGAAGACTGTTAAATGATAAACTTACCTTTGAAGTTATTTGTGGCAGATCAAAATGAAAAAGCAAGACAGTTCTGAAAGATAAAAAAATACAGATCATATGTTCTTTAAAGAGATTTAAGTTAATTTAGAATCAGAAGTCAATAATTACCTGAATAGATTTCTTTCACATAAAGATCCCAGTGCCTCTGGATTGCCACAGTTGATTTAGTGATATTTTGAACTCATTTATGTCTTACTGTATTTTGTGTTATAGTTACTCTTGCATATCTTCATTGTACATTTTTTGATCTTTGGAGCTTATTTTGCCATTATGAAATGAAATTTAGAAAGTATACATCACATTGATCACTAAAAATTCTTCATAAAAGATGTGATATTAGATTTTGTTGTTAAGCCTGCCATAACTAATTCCATGTAAAAGATAGGTCCTTTTTTTATTATTATTTATTTAGTATATGACCTTGGCCCTACTATTAAATTGTTTCCAAATCAGTTTTTGAAGAGATTCTAATGTATTATATGGTATATCCCTACCATTCATTTATTATCTTATGATACAAATTGAGCATCTGTGTACTTGGCCTTAGGAGTACAAAGATGAGACAGACAATTCATGCTGTCAGGGGACTCAAAGAGTTGTGGGGGAAAGATATACAAATAAACAACTGAATGACAGTAGGACATAATAAGTACAACAAGAGCACAAGAGTGAATGATTTAACTCAGAAGGGGTCAAAAAAATGGATTTGTAGAATGGATAGGAATTTGCCAGACAACGGAAAAAATTTCCTATTAAAAGAATATGTATGAACACAGTATGTATGTGTCACTGGTTCATTCTGTTAAAAATTCTATTTTGGAAGCTATAGTGTGATCTTGCTTTTAAAAAGGTAGAAGAGTTTTTCCTCCCTTCTTAAAACCACCCTCTCATTCTGATTTCTGCTCTAAAGTTCAGAAATATTATAGTTATCTTTCTGTTTAAGACTTGATACTCGAGGGCAGAAAGATTATGTAAGAAAGAGTTAACAAAGCAGACCTAAGGCTACCATCTTTAGAAGGGCCTGCTTATAAGGTTGGCTGCTGCCTGAGATACAGGAATGTGGCTTGTAAAAAGTTACCTACATGAATATGAAAAGTTCCCTAACTGATAAGAATGTTTCACTGCACCTAAACTGAACAAACAATGGATATACGATGGATATCTGTTTTTCTTCTGGGAGTCTGGAATTCGGTAGGTCATAGGCAGAGAATGACAGCATAACTAGTCCTCAATAAAAACCTTAAACTCTAAGCTTCAGTGGGCTTCCCTGGACAGAAATATTGCACAAGTTGGTTGTAGTTCCATTGGTAGAGGAAGTGGTACTATGGGTATATATCCTAGACTGGGAGGGGAGAGCATAGGAAGCCTGTGTATAGGTTTCTCTAGATTCCCCCTGTCTTTTTTTTCTCTTACTGATTTGGCTATGTGTCCTTGCTGTGTTGCTATAATAAATCATAGCTGTGATCATGCTGAGTTCTCTGGGTCCTTCTGGCAAATTACCAAATATGTGGGTCATATTTGGGGGCCCTCAAAGATGTGGCTGTTTGAATGAAGTAATTTATGAAATATTTATAATCAAGTAACTTTTAAAAATCAGCATGTAAAATCAGAAGCAATTTAATTTCCAAATCAGTTTTTGAAGAGATTCTAATGTATTATATGGTATATCCCTACCATTCATTTATTATCTTATGATACAAATTGAGCATCTGTGTACTTGGCCTTAGGAGTACAAAGATGAGACAGACAATTCATGCTGTCAGGGGACTCAAAGAGTTGTGGGGGAAAGATATACAAATAAACAACTGAATGACAGTAGGACATAATAAGTACAACAAGAGCACAAGAGTGAATGATTTAACTCAGAAGGGGTCAAAAAAATGGATTTGTAGAATGGATAGGAATTTGCCAGACAACGGAAAAAATTTCCTATTAAAAGAATATGTATGAACACAGTATGTATGTGTCACTGGTTCATTCTGTTAAAAATTCTATTTTGGAAGCTATAGTGTGATCTTGCTTTTAAAAAGGTAGAAGAGTTTTTCCTCCCTTCTTAAAACCACCCTCTCATTCTGATTTCTGCTCTAAAGTTCAGAAATATTATAGTTATCTTTCTGTTTAAGACTTGATACTCGAGGGCAGAAAGATTATGTAAGAAAGAGTTAACAAAGCAGACCTAAGGCTACCATCTTTAGAAGGGCCTGCTTATAAGGTTGGCTGCTGCCTGAGATACAGGAATGTGGCTTGTAAAAAGTTACCTACATGAATATGAAAAGTTCCCTAACTGATAAGAATGTTTCACTGCACCTAAACTGAACAAACAATGGATATACGATGGATATCTGTTTTTCTTCTGGGAGTCTGGAATTCGGTAGGTCATAGGCAGAGAATGACAGCATAACTAGTCCTCAATAAAAACCTTAAACTCTAAGCTTCAGTGGGCTTCCCTGGACAGAAATATTGCACAAGTTGGTTGTAGTTCCATTGGTAGAGGAAGTGGTACTATGGGTATATATCCTAGACTGGGAGGGGAGAGCATAGGAAGCCTGTGTATAGGTTTCTCTAGATTCCCCCTGTCTTTTTTTTCTCTTACTGATTTGGCTATGTGTCCTTGCTGTGTTGCTATAATAAATCATAGCTGTGATCATGCTGAGTTCTCTGGGTCCTTCTGGCAAATTACCAAATATGTGGGTCATATTTGGGGGCCCTCAAAGATGTGGCTGTTTGAATGAAGTAATTTATGAAATATTTATAATCAAGTAACTTTTAAAAATCAGCATGTAAAATCAGAAGCAATTTAATTGTTTATCAGAAATGTATATATAAATTGTAATACATCCATACAATGGAACACAATGCAGCTATTAACAAGAGAGCTACGTACTCCAAAAGATATCCATGTTATATTAAGATTTTGCATTTTAAAAAAGCAAGAATTGTAGGACAATATATGTGGCATAATCCCAGTTTTATAAAAACAAAAACAAAAACAAAACCCCAAATGCACACATAGCACCTAGCACCAAATTATTAGCAACTGGCCAACCTCTGGGGGTTAAGATTAAGTTGAAAAGAAAAATATACTAATCAAACATAAATGTATATCTTATGGTGAAGCCCACCAAGAGTGGTGGTCTCTGGATTGTTGAATACTTAATAAAAACATAACAGGTGTTCACATTTTTAATTTTTCGTGGATCTAAAATTCTGTGCACATGATCTGCTATCATTGCTTTCAGGTCATTTTGCAAACAAGTTGCTCTGTCAGTTTTAAAACTAGAAGGGTAAAACACAAAAGTTGTTACTAATAAGAGATTATGCATTATGAGATAGCACAAAGGTTGACAAACTGTATAACCCATGGGCCAAATCTAGCCTCCATCTGTTTTTATAAATAAAGTTTTACTAGAGCACAGCCATACGGTGGCTGCTTTCATGCTATAATAGCAGAATTGAGTAGATGTGACAAAGATCCTATGGCTCACAAAGCCTAAAATATTTATTATCTAGCCCTCTACAGAGAAAGTTTGCCAACTCCTGATAAGCACTTAGGCTTTGGAGAGAGAATGGGGGACAGGCCTGGGCTCAGATCTGGACCTTGCTGCTTATTAGCTTTGTAACTTCAGGAATGCTTAATATCTACACTTCTTGGTATCACTGTCTGTAAAACGGGAGTTAAAATACCCAGTTCACAGGAATATGAAGATAAGGTGAACATACGTCAAATACATAGTATAATACAGAGTATACATAGTGGCTGCTCAATTAAATACAACTGCTTTTACTACTACTCCCCAATCATACTGAAGTAAAACCTTCATTTAACATGTTGGCAGTATATAGATAGGACTTTTATTTTTTATTTATTTTATTTAGTTTTTTTCTTGGTTTGGCTGCTGGCCTTGAGAGGCTTTTTTTTTTTAAGGTATCATTGCTATACAATCTTATGAAGGTTTCACATGAGTAACATTGTGGTTATTACGTTCATCCATATTATCAATTCCCCCACACACACCCCATTGCAGTCACTGTCCATCAGCATATTAAGATGCTATAGAGTCACTACTTGTCTTCTCTGTGCTGTACTGCCATCCCCGTGACCCCCCTATCTTATGTATGCTAATCATAATGCCCCTTAATCCCCTTCTTCCTCCCTCCCTATGCCCTTCCCTTTGGTAACCACTCATCCCTTCTTGGAGTCTGTGAGTCTGCTGCTGTTTTGTTCCTTCAGTTTTTGTTGTTGTTGTTGTCTTTTTTTGGTATCATTAATCTACAATTACATGGCAACATTATGGTTACTAGATTCCTCCCATCATCAAGTCCCCACCACATACCCCATTACAGTCACTGTCCATCAGTGTAGTAAGATGCTATAGAATCACTACTTGTCTTCTCTGTGTTGTACTGCCTTCCCCGTGCCCCCTCACATTATGTCTCCTAATCATAGTGCCCTTTTTTCCCCCTTACCCCTCCCTTCCCACCCACCCTCCTTAGTCCCTTTCCCTTTTGTAACTGTTAGTCCATTCTTGGGTTCTGTGACTCTGCTGTTGTTTTGTTCCTTCAATTGTATTTTCTTTGTTCTTATACTCCACATATGAGTGAAAT